TATCATTATCATTATTATTATTATTATTATTATTATTATTATTATTATTATTATTATTATTATTATTAAGTATTTAGTTATTTTTTTGTAAAAAATGGCATTTGCAGAATTACTTGCAGTCTGTTCAAACATAAAAAATATCTACATGGAAAATTTTACTTATTTTTAAGAATTTCATCACATATATTTGAACAATATTATTTCGAAAGATTAAAAAAGTTGTTTGAAATTTCTTATCCACATTTTTCTTCAATTCAGTCTAAAAATAATCTCGAGCATCAGTTTCACAAGAAATAATATAATAAATTATAATTTTGACACTGTATGTTTTTACTGTATTTAAAAAATGCAAAATTTTTCGATTTTTCCGGGTGTTCTTCGTTTCTAATTGTCCGATCGAATCAATCGACTCGTTTTATTCGTATTTCGATTCTCTACAAATTGTCTCTTTATAGCATTTAGATTGCTTCGTTAGTTTAGGTTATAAGCAAAAAACTATAAATTTATAAAAAAATGTATAAAACAACTAATTATCTCGAAAACGGTAAGTTTTAGATACCATGTACATTTAATAAACTCTACCTAATATTAACCAAGGAATTCAAAAACGTAATAATATACAGGGTATTCTATTTAAAATAACAAAGTTATATAGCGTCTACGTGAAACGAAATACTCTGTAAGGCTAACTTTTATCACAACCATTTTTTTAGAAATTTTACAGTTACAGAGTTACAGAATCCCTTTTAGGTAACACCCTGTATAAACCAAGTTCGAGTAAAAAATTACTAAATAACAGTTAAATTTAGAGAAAAAGTGGTTTTACTTCCTCAGGATTGAGTCAAATGTCACTCATTTGAAAGCTAGCAGAAACTCGGATTGAGTAAAATTCACTCACTTCTGTTGCAATAGTTTCTCATAAAATTTTAGTTGTACTCATACCAATAGAGTGACGATGTCACTCAATTGGGTGTGGACAGAAATTGATACATTATTGAGTAAAATTGAGTGACATTTTTTTTACATTGCAGATTTCTGGTATCGATGAACATTGTCTTTATTTGACAAGATATTTCAGGAACAGATTTTTTAATTTACTCGAGTCAGCTTAATACTTTTACAATAAAATAAAAATTATGCGGCCTGGAAAAACAAGCATGCGAACAAGGAAAGGAAATAGTGGTACGCAAAAAAAAACACTCAGACACGGTCCAATTCCAGATACCAACTGAATAAAGTTCAAGAAAGTGATAAACATTGTATTTTATGGTATTCTATGCACGCAGTTATGTCAATATTCCTTAATTAATCGAACACAAGTACATCGAGTTAGAGATTTTCATAATTTTTTCTCGGAAATGATTGAGCTTAGCACCCATGTCATATAAGGTTTTTTTTATTATTTTAATGTATTCTATCGTCTGTTAAAATTAAGGCAGTCAAACTTCCAACATCATGTATAGATTTCTTATGATTACTGGAATTTTAATTAAACAAAAAGAACAAACCAAACACAATTTTATTGTAGACAATTATGTACTGCAAAACCCGACAGATAACTAGAGAGTGTCTCCAGTTTCCTTGGTACTCGACGTTTTTCATCGGCCTCACTCACACCAGTAACATCAACAAATAAACGATAACCGCCGTCCTGTTGAATGCTGACATCAAATTCCTAACATTCGGTTTCTCTTTTTGTGTAGGTCGAGCCAGAGGGCAAGCCGATGACTGACCAAAGGGGCACAGGTCTCTGCTGGCTTTTTTCCGGCCTTAACCTCATGCGTCTGCCTTTCATGAAGGAGTACAACTTGGAGGAATTCGAGTTCTCCCAAGCCCACCTAGTCTTCTGGCACAAGATAGAAGCGAGCAACACCTTCCTCTACAACATGGTGAAGACAGCTCAAAATAAAGAACCTCTAGATGGACGACTGATGACGTTCTTGTTGCGGGTAAGATCAATCGAACACGGTCACCAGTGGATGATTTTGGGGTTACCAGTTTATTTGTTTGGTTCCGGAAAATAAAAGCGACGGTTTTGTTGTACAAACATGCATGTAGGTATAAAAATAAATAAGTAATCGATAATCGAATAAGAATTACAAACTTCAATGTCGGTTTTTACTTGTCATCGAGCATCACGAGTCCGGAAAAGGTTGCGAGTAACTGCCTGAGCAGTGTTATGCAACCTACAGTTAGAGGTTACGGTGAATGTCAGCAAAACCTCACAAAGGCATCGCATCTCTTCTTCCGATAAACAAATGTACTAAATTATTGTCGCGCATCCAAAAATGTTACAATAACTCGTAAACGAAGCCCCAAATAAAAATCTTCACAAGAGTGAGAAAATAGAATAAAACGCCAAAAAATATATTCGGAAAGCATAGGCGTATTAAATAATAATAGGGGTCCTGCAACCCCCCCTCCCCTCGGTTCGCGCTTCGTTATTTTAAACTAAAGTTACACAAAAAGTGTGCCGACTTAAGATCAAAATATGTTCAAAATAAAAATTTCAAATAAACATACCTATATAACGAGCGTTCAAATAAAAACGTGGTCGAAGTTGGCTCTGACACATTGGACGTAGGGAGTAGCTTATAGCGACCAACTTAACCTCATTTCTCAACGAGCTGTATAGCAGCTGTCAGTTTCAATAACGTTAATGACTATATAACTTTATTTTAAAGAATAATCGTGATAACAATAACAAACAATTAAAGGAGCTGCGGAAAGTGTCCCCCTCCTTGTTATAACAATAAATTAAAGCAGCTGCTGAAAGTGTCCCCCTCCTTGTTCCAAGCACTTTTCACACCTGTTCCTCAAAGAATTAAAGACATTTTCTAAGATGCTCGGGGTATTGTTAATTTCACGAATCTTGTCTATAAGTCGAGCCTGCAGATGGTTTAAATCAGGAATAGGCAGTTCAAAAATAGTGTTTTTAAGGTAAGGCCACAAAAAGAAATCACACGGCGTAATATCACATGACCTCGGTGGAAATTCATGTTCAGCATTGAGACTTATTAGTCGATTTTGGAAAACTTCCCTCAACATATTCATCGTCTCGCCTGCCGTATGTGCCCTTGCGCCATCTTGTTGAAAGTAAAAGTTTGTAATTTCGTTTTCTTCCAGCTGGTTAACAAAAGGAGCGATAATTTCTTCTCTATACCTTTGCGCAGTAAGAGTACCATTAAAAAAAATAGGTCCATAAATCCTCCTTCGATTGAGAGCACACCAAACTCCAATTTTTTGAGCGTGTAGAGGGCCCTCGACAAAAAAGTTATCTGGTTTTTCAGAAGACCACATTCTCATATTCTGTGAGTTTACGTAACCACTTAAATGAAACCAGGCTTCATCAGAAAAAAAGGTGATATTATGAAGTTCACCGTAGTTGTTTAAAAACCATTCACAAAATACAGCCCGTCGCGGAAAATCAACTTCATGAAGTTCTTGCTGACAAGTTAAACGATAGGAGAACAAACGCAAATCTTTTTTTAACACTGTGTGGCAGGTACCGACTGATACTCCCACCATTTGTGATAAAACACGTACAGAAGTTCTTGGCGCATTTTCCATTATTTGTTGGACATTTTCTTTTAATTCTTCAGTCCGCTTTTTAGGTCGGCCGCTTCCTTCTTTTCTTGTTACACTGCCCGTTTCACGAAAAACATTAACACAACGCTGAACTGCACTTTGAAAAATTTTGTACTCAACAACGCCGGGAAATTGATTTTGAAATTCTATGAAACATTCCTCAATAGAATACTTCCATATTCCATCAATCTTGCGTCCATTTCTAAAGTAGGACTCTATGATAAACACTTTTTGTTCTTGAGAAAACACCATTTTAAACGCTTTTTAAAACGAAAATATTCAAATTGATAGCGGCGATATAGCGCTTTGACAGATGACGTTTAAGTTCATTTGCTATACGCTACGCCCTACGTCCAAATTTTCAGAACCAACTTGACCACGTTTTTATTTGAACGCTCGTTATATATAGGGTGTCCCAAATAAAATTTTCCACCTAAAACATTTCGTTTAATATGAAGTTTGAAAAAATTCCAAAAACACGTCGATTTTTAATTTGAGGGGGACATAAACTTACATCATTACTTATTTTGCAGTTGCCACCCCTTCATAGATCGAGGTATCGATTGAATTTCAATGAAATTTCAAATGGCACTACAGAGCGTGTGATACATCGTTTGAAAGCTCTTTTGATACTGACTTTAAATCCGTAAAGAAATTAAAAAATCGTTATTCGTTTTCAAGAAAAAAACATTGAAATCAAATTTTTTGGAATTTTGTATTTTTACATTGAAAATTGTTTTATTTTAATTTATAGCATGTGAACCACTGAAAAAATTTTTATACATCAAAAAATTAATTATTAAACTGCAAAAAGGTTTCTACTTCAGATAATAAAAACAACAATAAACGAAACGTAAAGAAGGTTGAAGTTCTTATCATAATTTTTTATGAATTCCATTACATTCCGTTGCATTTTACCGTTTTGTTTGATACCAGTTTATCGGAAATGTGTTATTATTGAAACCATTTTCAATTGTATCAAATCTCATATTCGACTTACAGTCAAAGTGTAACAAAAACATTGTAAAAACAAAATGAATGTGCTAGGGAAACTGCTCGAATTTTCAATGAGTTGCATCTTGATCACCAAACTAGTTATATGTACGTGAGCCAGATTATTAAGAAATTTCGAGAAACTGGGTCTTAAGAAAACCAATCCTCTAACGAATTAATGGAAGTAGGACTTTTGGGCGGACAGACAATGAATCCACACCAATCCGTGCGATCGTTAGAGCATACTATAGGGATTCCTAAGTCGAACGTTCATCGGATTTTGCAAAAATATAAGTGGCTTCCGTATAAAATACATCTTGTGCATTGTTTGAACGAGGACGATCCGGATCGAAGAACAGAATTTTGTGGTATCATGTCTAACAGAATTACAGAATATATCAAAATATACTTTACAATATTTGCTTCAGTGATGAGTGTACGTTTTTTCTCAATGGTACAGTGAATAGGCATAATATTCGTTATAGGACGAGTGAAAACCCTCTTTCTGTTAGGGAATCATTATCCATAAAAGCTGAACGTCTGGGCAGGAATATTGGGTAATCACATAGTTGGTCCATTTTTTTAGATGGTCTCTGACCGGAGTCAGCTATTTACGTTTGTTGGAAGATCATATTGATCCCATAACTACAAAAATTCTGGAGAATGCTGATCAGCTGGATGAAAACCTTGTGACGCTCCAACAAGACGGAGCTCCACTCCATTTTGAACGACGAGTTCCGGCTTATTTGGATCAGAATTTTCCAGGACGATGGATAGGTAGGCGTGGGGCTATAGATTGGCCAGCTCGGTCTCCCGATTTGAGTCCAAACGTATTTTTGCTCTGGGTACATCTCAAATAATTGGTTTTTGCAAGTCAACCCGAAAATCTTGAAGATTTAAGACAACCTATTGTAAACGAATGTCGGAATTTAACTCCAGAGGTTTTTGCAAATGTAAGGAGATGTTTCGTAAACAGGCTCCATATTTGCCAAGGTGCACAATTTGAGCATCTATTATAAACAATTTTAAACGTAAAAATACAAAATTCTAAAAATTTAATTTCAATGTTTTTTTTCTTGACGACACATAATGATTTTTTTTATTTTTTTACGTGTCTAAGTCAGTATCAAAAGAGCTTTCAAAAATAAAAATCGACGTGTTTTTGAAAATTTTTCAAAACTTCATATTAAACAAAATGTTCAGGTGGAAAGTTTTATATGGAACACCCTGTATATAAAGATGTTCACGTTTCGAAAATCAATCTATTTTCGTCATCTGAACTAACGAATTTAAAAAGAAATGTTTTTAATTATTTTTGAAACAGTTACATTTATTTTGTTAGAACTCCTGAGGCGTTCACTTTTCACACAAAATTAAATGAATATTTACTTTTGTCGACAGAAGCCGATAAGTGATGGAGGTTTCTGGCACATCCTGGCCAATCTAGTCAACAAACATGGATTAATGCCGAAGAAAAATTTTTCAGAATATTACAACAGTTCCTACACATCTAAGATGAACGACGTTCTCGGAAGCATGGTAAGAAATAACTTTTAGTTTCCCTCGTTTGTGAAAAATTAGAAATTAATTGAAACTCTTACACCAAAAGTTTCAATCAAGGGTCGTTTTGCCTGCCGAAAAATTTCAATTTTTTCCCTACCCTGTGGATCGGTCCTGCACAACATTTAGTTTTGTCCCTTACTATGTTTTTATTAGTTAAACGTATTTGTTTATTATCCAATGTCAACTTTGTTCCACAGGGCTCCACACTAGGCCCTCTTTTATTCATAAGTTTGGTTATTGACTTTATGGTTGACTTGGATATGCAGTATTTTGCTATTCTGTATTGTACAAGGAAATCTGAATTTGTATATAAACTAAATGGATGTGAACTGAAAATGTTAAATGTATTCTTTGCCTTCAAAAATCTATGTTCCGTCAATAGAAATTAGGGGGGTTTCAGAGAACAACATGTTTTTTATTCTTCTTCTAGGTCGAATATACTATTTTGGTATCCAGAAGATCACAGCTAAAATTAATGCAATGAAATCATGCAGAAAAGGTCTTATAAGTTAGATCCAAACGATTTCAAAAGACTTACTTATATTAGTAGCTTATCGCAAGCTACAAACTTTATTATTTCTATATAAAATTATGAACAATAAATATGATTATTTAGAGATTATGTCACATCGAATATCCAGGTATCTAGAACCAAGATATATGAAGTGTAATTCATCCTCGGGTAACCAGTACCAACTTGGTTTGGATCTCCAATTTTTGTTACTATCATAACTTGCAGAATTGCATTAGGATATGTTGTGTTCCATTAAAAAAAAACAAAAGTTTGGGTTACATCATCTAAATGTAACAGGCAGTTTTTTTTTATATATTACCCTTTTCATATGTGGATTTTTTTATATATCTTACCCCTTTTCATATGTGGAATCATTCATCTTACAGTTGCGGCAATATGCCAAGGCCATCCGCGACCTAGTAGCCAAAGGTGGCTGCGACGAAGACATCGACAACCTCATCCAAGATCAGATGTCCAACATCTATAGGGTAGTGGGGATATGCCTTGGTATACCCAGTGAGACTTTCACGTGGAGCTACTACGACAAAGACAAGGCATTCAAGAGCATCGGACCTGTAACACCCAAGGAGTTCTACGAGAAACACGTGAAGCCCTTCTTCAATGTCGATGATAAGGTAACTGTCCGTTTTTACTTAAAATGGTATAACTATGTTGTGGCTATGTTTCTATTTAATTTAATTAGTGATTAAAGCGGTTTTAAAAGTGATAAATCGCTCTTCCGGAGTAATCTCTGAAGGACCGTAGCACCCATATGTGTGTGTTTTTGACTTGAACGGTTCAAATTCGGTTCGACTGGAGTAGGTATTTTGCTATCACTCTTACGCGTTATCTGGCTCCGGTCTCCAAGACTTCCAACTTTTACCAAACCAAATCTGTCTGGACTTGCGTATCTAGCGTAGTTAATGTATATTTACGCCTAGCTGTAAAAAAAAATTTGTGTAGAAAGTAATTCTGTCTTCTCCAAAGGTGTGTTTGGTGTCAGACCCCAGACCTACCTTCGAATTTGGGAAACTGTTCACAATGGACTACATAAACGACGTCGTTGGAGCCAAAAACTGCATTTTTAACAACCAACCGGTGGAGTTGCTGCTGGATCTTACCGCCAAGAGCATCAAAGAAGGTGAGGCTGTGCTCTCTAGCTGCGAACTCTCGAGAAAGTACTCCTCTTGGAGGCACGGGATGCACCTCAAGACGTAAGTTTGATGATTGTAGAAAAATTAATGTTAAGTTAACCATAACTGTGAAGTGATTATAAAAGAGGACGGCCAATAAGGCCAGTTTTCGGCTCTATCAGACATTAGTCCAGTTGGTAGAGGTTCGGCCTGTGTCAAACCTTGATAACACGGAAATAACTACACAGGCCTACTTTAAATGATGAGTACATTTACAGGCTAATTTGCTGGCAAAGTATTTTATCAGGAAAAAAGTTATTAACAATTTAATCGTGAAAAAAAATTTTTCTAGTACTTTTCTTTAAATAACTCAGCGGGATGACTTTGTACGAAAAAATGCTTAGGACATGATTTTGTTCGTAACAAAAATAGCTACAAAATGGCGGTGGACCGATTACGAAATTTGCAATAACAAAGCCGTGAGATTGAAAAAACGGTATAAAACGTAAATTTTTTAAAGTTGCTGTAAAAATGGTAATTATAAACAGAAAGTGATAAAACTTTCGAAAACTATAGTTCAATATATATACAATAATGACGAAAATCAGGAGAGCAAAACTTTTTGATCTATAAGGTGTTATACATTCATCGACATCTGACACTCGAAACTTTGCCAAATTTGTTCGAAGCTTCGCTGACACTTGAATTTTGGTACACACAGTGTAAATATGCAAAAACCAAAAGCAATTTGCAAAATTCAAGTATCTTCATTTTTGCAGCTTTGGTTACGTTACCCTAGTTTTATACGTCACCGTTTTTTTAATTTTGATTCGATTCAAACCGAAGAAGAGTTACGAAATCGTATAATAGTATGCTGCTAAACCATAAGAGACACCCCAGAAATTTTTGAAAATGTACGTCAGTCTATGCGAAGAAGAGTAGATGCTTGCATACGTGTGGGTGGAGGACACTTTCAACAACTACTGTAAATACATAATAAATACATTATGACACTTTACCCAGCCTACTAATTTTTATTTCATTTGCTTTAAGGGAGCATTTAATGAGCTTACCGTTTTTTCTATCCAAACATTTAATATTATGCCTACGTGAACGTCATTTGTGAAAGTAGAAAATTAATTTTTGCCCCACAAAAAGTGTTTCCACGCATGGTGGGTGTCTACAAAATGGCAACAAAATATCAAAAGCAGTCTCAATGAACTTGGGGAAAAAACTTTTTTTGGTTTTCATTTTTTTACGTGCAAATGGTGCGTCGTACGAGAGTAAGTCTAGGGACCGAATTTGCTGTAAAATAAATGGAGA